GGGATCCCGGGAAGCACAAGAAGGGGAGTGGGGGCGTCACACGCGGAAGAGGGAGGAGCCGACGAAGGTGCGTGGATGAGGGGTCACCCCCGTGCAGGTGTGGAAGCCGAGGGTGAATTGTCACATCCAGGAAATGTGGACAGTCGTTCTATAATGTCATGAAATGTTCAGCCTTACAACCATGGTCACTCCAGGTTTCTCATGGTCTATGCTATTCGAATCTCTTCTGGCCTCGGAGGAAGCCGCAGTTCCTGAGGGTTAAGCCTGCACTGTCCAATCCCACAGCCACCTGCCAGGGGTGGCTACAAGCACTCGAAGGGTGGCCAGTGATTCATTCATAATCTGTTTCATATGAGTTACATGTTAGAATGATCACCTTTTGGCTCTGCTGGGTGAAGTAAAGCATATTATTGAAATTAGGTTCCCCTGTTTCTCTTTGCTTTTTTAAAAAATAATGTGACTACTAGAAAATGTCAAAAGGCCTGTGAGGTTTGCATTATATTTTTATAACAGAGTGTGGGGTTTGAGGTCCGGACCGATAAAGAGAAACCATTGAATATGGAAAAGAGGTTGCAACGTTGGTGTTTGCTGCTAGACTAGGTGGAAAAGCTGAATTAGCAGCTGAGTTTTGGGGAGGGGGGAACCACCTCTGCAGTCACATGTCCCTCTTGTTCTTCCCTGGTATTAATACGTCATGCCCACCCCCATGACCCTGTGTCTACAGCCTGCCCGGAAGAATCTACAGTGAAGTTCACACATATGACCGGGCAGGTCAGGGTTAGTTATCTCTAACTCGCCCAGCCTGCAGCCACGCAGAGCCCGGGGTCCCCGTCTGACCTGTCCCCTCCCCTCTGTTCTAGGTATCGGGGTCTTGCTGGCTGTGCCAGGACCAGGAGGCAGGAGCTCTGCAGGTGAGTCCACTCACGGCCACAGGCCAGAGGGAAGGAAACTGGGACCTGGGGCTCGCGTCTGGGAGGGGAAGGAGCCCTGTGCGAGGCAGGGGCGCTGAGTCCCTGGCGTCCCCTCCTCCCGAGAGCTGTCCTCCTCCTCCGGCATCACCGGCGTCACCTGCGTTTACTGAGCCAAGTGGCTGACACGCGGACTCCCGTGCAGTCCTCTGTGATGTTCCCACCCAGAGGTGCTGCCGCCGTCCCCGCCCGGCCGAGGTCCTGCTGAGCCGGCGCGGCCCGAGGCCACGCAGCTGGCGGTGCGGGTGCTGCTCCCTCTTTCCTCACACCCGCGTCCCGCGTCCTCAACACGATCGGCCGCCACGCCCCGCCGGGGGCTGGTTTCCCTCCAGATTTCCGTGCGGATGGCAGGTCACCGACCTGGGAGGGGACCCCAGGAGGCACCACCTGGGAGGGGCGGGCACAGGAGGCGGAGACGGCGGTGGGGCCTTGTCACAGGAGTCCCCTGCGGGCGACAGGAGCCGGGTCCCCTGGGGAGCCGGGGACACTGGGTGGGGCCAGCACCTCGCGGTCCTGCCCCAGGGGGCAAGGGCGACCTCTCACGGTTGTTACTTTTAACGTGTCGTAAAATGTACGTGACAGGAAATCTTAACCTTTTACCCATTGCTAAGGGCACAGTTCAGTGGCATGAAGGGCACCTAAACGCTCCTGTAGCCGTTGCCATGATCTGTGCACAGAATTCTCTCTGATGGCAGGACCAAAACTCTGTCCCTGCTAAGCACGACTCCCCGCCCCTGGCGCCCGCCACTCCACTTCCTGTCTCTGTGGGTGTGACACCTCTGGGGACCTACTATGAGCAGAGCCACCCGGAGTCTGCCCTTTCCCAACCGGCTTGTTTTCACTCAGCACGATGTCCCCGAGGTCCATTCATGTCGCTGCGTGTGTCAGAATGTCCTCCCTGTACAAGGCTGAACAGTGCCCTGCCGTGGGGTTGTATCACAGCGGGTTCATCCGTCCGTTTCCCTGTGGCCTTCTGGTTTACACACACGGGGCTGGCATGACCAAGGCTGCCGTGGACGTGGGTGCACACACATCCCCTCCATCCCTTGCTTTCCATTCCTTTGTGCACATTCCTGGAACTGGGACTGCGGCTCCTGTGGTAATTTGGTCATTCTGGGGAACGGCCACGCTGCTTTCCATGGAGGCTGCGTCATTGTACATTCCCACCAGCACGGCGCAAGGGTCCCCCTGTCTCTGCGTTCTCACCTACGCTTGTCCTTCCCTGGTTGGTTTTCTTCTTATCTATTACTCACGCTGAGTTACTTTAATAGACTGACTCCCGCCAGTCACCGGCGGAGGGAGCTGCTCCCGGGAGGGGAGGCAGTGCTCACCTGCCTTGCGCTGCACAGAGCAGAGCCTGGTGGCCAGAGAGAGCCCGCAGGTAAAGGTGCACAGGTGCACAGGTGCTGGCATTTGGAGGCCACCGTCAGGCAGGAGTGGTGTTGGTGGCAGAAGTGGGATCTGGGCAGGCCGTGTGAGCGTCTGTGTTCAGCTGTGGGCTGGGTGCAAAGAGGATGCCACAGAGCCAGTCCCAAGAGGACATCCCTCTGACCACAGCGCATGGATTGTGGGCGTTTCATGAATATGTCTTGAACAAATGAATGAGCAAAGGAATGCACACGTCTGTGTTCCCTGCAGCCCTCTGTCCTCAGTGCCCTGAGCATGCCTCCTGCCACAACAGCACCCACTGCGCCTGTGAGGTTGGATTCCAGTCCAGGTCTGGGAGGAGACACTTTTTCAGCTCCCAGGAGACGTGTGAAGGTAAAGATGCTTTGGATGAGATTTAATTCGACCCCTCATTGGTGACAACTATTCCTCGTCCTTGTGTCCTCTGTCTGAGGCACATGAATCCGTGGACCAAATAGAACCCACAGCTCTTCAGCAGACCCATCGCCAAGGTGCGGCTACTGGGCAGGCGCACCTGTCCCTGCGTGCCTCCGACAGAGACAGCAGGTGTCAGTCCTTGCCTCTGGGCACCCCCTGTCTGTGGGCTTGAACCTCAACTTGGTTCATCGGCAGGGAAGGCTGGTGAGACAGGCAGATGCAGGACACTCAGGCATTGCACAAGCCAGGATTTAGCTAAAGTGGCCCTTCCACCTCGCTTGCAGCCTGTCCTAGTGATGTGTTAGCTTACCCTATGTTTATTCCCTTGCTACTCACTGTGCGTTTTTATTTGATGTAACAAATTTGAGACTCGCCATTAAATAAAAACTACATTCCACCCTATTCCTGGGATTTGACACATCCTCTATACTATATTCTAAAGCTCCATAGGTACATGGGTCTGATTCTGGATTTTCAGTTCACTCTAGCAGTCTACTTTTTATTTATTCATGCATCAGCACCTCACTGTGTCCTCAAAGCATTACTGGGTCCTTTAATGTCTGATTGCCCCATTGCAGGTTTTGTGCCCGTTCTTGCATGACAGTATCAACTTGTCTCACTCCGTTAAATACATGCAGATTGTTTATTGGGAGTGCGTCAGATTTATACATGAACATATGGCGAATTCTCATCTTTATCGTGCAGATTCATCCTTTCCAAGAATGGGAGATGTTATCTGATGAACAATGTTGGGCCATCAAGATCCCATGGGCAGGAGAACTGGTATTGTTCTATGAAAATGAAAAGCAGCATTCTCTCTTGATTCACAGACATTGATGAGTGCAAGACTGAGCTGCACATGTGCAAGTATGGAGCATACTGTAGAAACAAAATCGGAGGTTACATCTGCAGCTGTGTGGCAGCACATCCCATCTTCAACTGGGTGGCTGGTTTGGTGGATATCGACCATCCGGACTGTTATGGTAAGAAACTCCCAATAGTCTTTCCTCTGTGAAGAAGGATGGGCATGGGGGCAGGTGGGAAGAGCTATCCTTTGCAATTATTAATGCATGTAAAATACTTAGCAGTTCTAGGTACCTAGGAAGGCTCAGTAAGTATTTGCTCCTATGCTACATAAGCCTGTCGTAGAAACTTCTGCATTCCATAAATGAGATAGTGTAGACGTACTGTGTGGATGACTGCTCTATATTATTACCTCTATTAACGCTGAATCCTTCAGCAAGCCTTCCTTGCAACCCTGATGTGTTGGGGCGCTCTGGTGTGTGTCCCCATCACATTGCATCCTATTTGTTAAAAGCATCACTGGTAATCACTTAATTACTGTTTTGTGATTATTTGCTTAATGCCTTTCCTTCCAGACTGCAAACTCCACAAGAGGACACCCTTGTGCTCTTTTGCTAACCTCTATCCATATGGTTTAGCATCATGTCCGGTATTGAGTAGGTGTTCAATAAACACTGTTGCCTGAAGTATTATTAAACTGGAAGCCACATTCTAACTCCCTTTCATAATTCTACTGTAGAACACAGTTGGGATTTCTTAGGTGGGAATTGGGGTGGGCTGCAGAAGCACCAGGGAAAGATGCAAGTTTGCGCTCATTGGAAGAAGGGATGTGATCCAGGGTGGGTTTTCTCCCACATCCCAGTTCATGGCTACTTTACTTTTTCCCCTCATAGAGAACAGCGAAAGGAAAGAGTCCCCAGTGAAAACTCAGGTAAGTTGAGTGAAGCCTGAGTGTGAGAAGCAGCTGATCCATCTCACCACATCATCTCTTGCTGCAGCACTAGCAGGTTCCCTATGATTTTTAGGATGGAGTAGTTCTCATCCTGGGGTGATTTTGTCCTCTACGCCAAAGGACATCCGATAATGTCTGGGGACACATTTGCTTGTCACAACTTTAGGGGTAGGTGGAAGGTGTGCTACTGATAAGGGACAAGGGACACAACTCAACACCCTACAATGCCCAGGACAGCCTCCCACAACCAAAAATTGACTGGTCTCAGATGTCAGTAGAAAGTACTAAACTCTGGGAAAGAGTGACAGTGCCTCCGCTGTCTTAAAGGCTTGTGTCGGTGTCTGGAACCTCATGTCCACCCCACCTACTAGTGCCCTAGTACAATGTTGTCTTCTAGGCTCACTCCTACCATATTTATGCACATTCCTGCTTTCTGAAGTTTCCTTATTTTCTGAAGTTTCCTTATTTTTTTTTTGAAAGGAAAATCTGAGGAAGACTAGAAGCCCAAGGGAAATTGGAAGAGAAGGTACTAAAGTCCAAAGAGTGAAATTGACTGTCTGGAAATTGAGTTCTCCTGCTCCAGAAAAGCACAGACTTTCCCTGTTTGGTATAGGTAAGAGGTACTGAGTAGGTTCCTGTGACCGCCACAAAGATTCTGGCTCCTGGCCTGGGCAGGGTCTATGAATGATAAAAATCAACGGGCTCCCAGAATCATAGTCTTCCATGCTTAACATTACATGAGTGGGGCTCTTCTTCCAAAATACAAATTCAACAAAAAAGGGAATAAACCAGCTCTCTTCCATATTGCAACCTCCCTTAGTATGGTGAAAATTGTTTAAGAACAAAAATATCCACCATCCTACCATGGCTGGTAGAAAGGAAACCACTTTGGGTTATGTTCCTGCTCTACTCTCACATATGCAGGACAATACAGAATACTTCAGCTTTGGTCAACAAAATATGTGTGGAGTTTTCCCTCCATACTAAGCAAGCAATTCTCCAAGAGATGCCAGCGGGTGTCCTGTCATTCAATTCTGACATTATCTACCTGGAGGTAGCACCAGATCCCACAGTTTGTGTGCTTACTCCCACAAGGGTGTTTCTAGTGCAGACGCCAGCTGCAAGTCCCAGGCTGTAACCTATACTTCTGACCCTGTCCGGCTATGAATCAGAGTCCCGTGACCTCCCTCCTTGGGTTTGATTAATGTGCTCACTGAACTCAGGGAGGCAATTTACTTGCATTTATCCATTTATTATGAAAGATATTATAAAAGACACAGATGGCCAGCCAGATGGAAGAGATGCAGAGAAAGAGGTGTGGGAGACGGGGATGTGGATCCCCGTCTCCAACACGGGGATAAATCCCACAGGGCCATGATGTACAATCTGTTTGATGTGTTCTTGTGTGAGAGCATACTCCTTAAAATTTCAATCCTTTTGAATTCATTCAGACTTGTCTTATGATCTATTCCAAGCCCTCTTTGGCTGGGTCACACCCCAGGATCCTCCATGTTTTCAGCTGTCTGGAGGCTCCTGGAACCACATTCTTCTGGATTTTGATGGGTGATTCATTCCTTAGGCATGATTGATTACAACATTGGTCCTTGCTACCAACTCAGCATTCAGCCTCTCCCCTGCTATAGGCGGGATGGCATGGAAATGAAAGTTCCAACCCTTCAGTCTCACGGTTGGTTTCCCTGGCAACCAGCTCCCATCCTGAGCCCACAGGAGGTGGCTAAGAGTCACCTCCTTAAAACAGGAAATGCCCAGGAAATTCCAAGAGATTTAGGAGTTGAGTCACATGCTTCTGATACTCATGAAATCTCAAAGGTCTTAGGAGCTGCGTGTCAGAAACTTGGGTCAAAGACAAAATATCAGAACAAAAGATTTTCCTAGTGAGTCTATTGCTCAGGAAATTACAAGGGTTTTAAGAGCTCTGTGTCAGGGACTATGGTAAGTCCTTAACCCCTGCATCTATTATTCATTTCAGAGGACCAGGGTGTAGCTTTGTTGATTATTTCTATCATTTTTCTGTTTCTTTTACGTGGATTTCTGCTGTTTTTATTTTGTTGTCCATTCTTTGTATTTGATTTTTAATTTTCTAACTTGTTGACTTGATAGCTTAGATCATTGATTTTTAAATTCATTGTCTTTAACTTAATGCATTTAAAGCTTCAAATAGCTACACATTAGAGCTATACATTTCCCTCTAAGTACTGGTTTGGCTGCATACTGAAAATTTTCACATGTTGAGCTTTTGCTATCATTCAGTTAAAACTATTTAAAAATTCTCTGTGATTTATCACTTTACTTATGGGTTACATAGAAATGTTTGTTTCATTCCCAAATATTTGGGACTTTCCTCGGTGTCTTTGTGTTAATGGTATCTTATTTATTTTTATTGTGGGTTTTTACCCAGAAAGAATGTTGAACTTTGCCAAATGCCTTTTCTGCATCAAGATGATTACATGATTTTTATGTTTTGTTCTGTTAATGTGATGGAGCCCAGGGGTTGATTTGCATATGTTAAACCAGCCTTGAATGCCCGGGATAAATCCCACAGGGCCATGATGTACAATCTGTTTGATGTGTTCTTGTGTGAGAGCATACTCTTTAAAATTTCAATCCTTTTGAATTCATTCAGACTTGTCTTAGGATCTATTTTGACAACTGTTCCATGTGAACTTACTATCTGTATTAGTGTTCCAAGTCAAGTGGCCTCAGAAAGCCTAATGTAACAGTGGCTTAAACAATGGCTTGGCTATTATTTCTTTGACAATTTGAGTGTAAGGATCCTAGGGCTGATAGGGCTGTTCCAGGCCATCTTCCACATTCAGCTTCCGTCTTGTGTTACATAATTGCTGCTCTACTTCCACATCCTCTTACCAGCCAAGGGGAGAGGGACAAGAGGAGAATAGAAATGATGCTCATTTTCTGTGGGGCACATCATTCTGTTCTTCCATCCATTGGCCTGCAGATAGTTGCATGGCTCTGCCTAGCTGCAAGGGAAGCTGGGAAATGAGTTGTGTTCAGCTTCAATTTGGTAACTCTTGTCCCAGAGAAAGAAGGATGGAATGGTGATTGTGGGCACTCAGCTGTCTGCCATAGCTCCTAGGACAATTTTTTTCACTTGTGCAGAGACAAATTTCTTGTGCCAGAAAAAAAATGTGTGAGGATAATCTTTCATCAGATGCTGTGTTTATAGGTTTATGTGATGTGGATGCAGCTTACTCAAGGGATTCTTCCCTAATGCAGAAGTGTGTCCCCCAGTGATTTTACTTGGAAAAATATTAAATGCTTGGCTACCCTTGCTTAGAAAGATTATGATCCTTCTTAACAGAGAATCCAATATCATTAGTTCACTTTTTTTTTTTTTTTACTTCTTAAGTAGTCTGTTGTAAATGCTGAGTTTGCCCCCTCTAGTTCCAGCTCAGGGAAGCGTAGCCATCTCCTCTCTTCTATTGGGTTGTGTTGCTCAGGTATTTGGCTACATTTTTGAACAATGTTGGCAATAAAGATTCCATCGGCAAGGGTACTGGTCTCGTTCTATGAAAGTGAAAAACAACAATATTGTCTCTTCATCACAGATACTGCTTTGTGCGAGACCGGGCAGGCAAAGTGCCACGATACGGCACATTGTAAAAACAAAATCGTAGCTATTGTCTGCACTTGTGTGGTAAAGTACCCTTTCTTCAACTGGGAGGCTCGTTTGGTGGATATTGATCATCCAGATTGTTACGGTAAGAACCTCCCAATACTCTCTCCTCTATGCAGAAGGATGGGGCTGGCACCTGGGAGAGCTTCTCAGAACTGCCCATTTCAGGCCAAGGCTCTGTCCTAACCCTCATCCCTCTTTCCTTTGTCCTTGTGGCCCAGGGAGATGCTGTCCCAGCCCATGACATAAGTAGCCATCTCTACACAGATGCCTTACAGTTTATGTCTCCTACACAGGTCTCCTGCATTCCAAAAGACATATTTACCTTTTTTTCTGAATTTGTCTACTTATTATCTCTCACTCACCTTTAATGCAATTCCTACGTCTGTCTATCTGTCCGTACAAGTCCTGAAGCCCATGAGTTCATGTCGTTAGCGCCAATGCCAGTGCAACACCAAGTCTTGTCTCAGCCTTCCTATTTCCTTGTCTGTAACTTCTTTCTCCAACAATGAGAAGCCTGGCTCTTACTACTGACTATAATATTCATCTAATTGCTCAATCCTAATAAAATTCCATATTTTGAGTTAGGTGGATTGGATATAAGTGCTGCCTTATCCCCTTACTAGCTGACTCTCTGTTACTAATTTAACTTCTATGCTTCCTCTGTACATGGGAGTGGCACTAAGATGTGCGTGTTAGGTATGTGTCGCTGCATAACAAGTTACCCCCCCAAATTTAGTGGCTTCAACAACACATATTTATTGTTGCAATGTTTGTGTGGGTCCAACTGAGGCTTGGCTGGGCCCTTTGCTTCAGGGTCCATCACAGCTGCCATCAGGGTGTTTTGCGGACTGTGGTTTCAACCAGATGTTTGACTATGGCAGGATGTGCTTCCAAGCTCACTCGTGGGGTTGCTGGAAAGATTCGGTTCATTAAGAGCCCTTGGACTGAAGCCCTCAGGTCATATTTAGTGGTTGGTGGGAGGAAGTTATCAGTTCCTAGATATGTGGGTGTCTGTAACTGGATTTATTACAGCAAGCAATGGAAACAGCCTAAAAGTGTGAATAACACAAAAGTCATAGTCGTATATAACCTAATCACACGGGTGACATCACTTTTGGTGTATACTGTTCGTTACTAGAGAGTCACTGGGTCCGGTTCACAGTCAGTGGGAGGAGATTACATGTGAATGTGAATCCCGAGAGGCAGGAAAAATCTAAAGCCATTTCAGAATCCAGCTGACTGGGTTGAATACAGAGCTCCCCAAATTCATGTCCCCTTGGAACCTGTGATTGGGATCTTATGTGGAAACAGGTTCTGTGCAGATGTAGTCAGGTGAAGATATGGTCATATTAGTTTGGGGTTGACCCTGCATCCCGTATAACTGGTGTTCTTATAAAAACAGGGAACTTAGGAAACAGAGGCACACACACAAAGGGACAATGGCCACGTGTAGACAGAGACTGGAGTTACGCTGCCACAACCCCAGGAGGGACAGAGATTGCTGGCAGCCACGAGAAACTAGAAGCAGCAAGGCAAGATTCCTCCTTAGGACGTTCCTTAGAGGAAACATGATCCTACTGACACCTTGATTATGGACTTTTAACCTGCAGAGCTGTGAGACAGTAAATATATGTTGCTTTAAGCCACCAGTTTGTGGCACCATGTTATGGCAGCCCCAGCAAACTAGTACACCTCACCTATTCTTGTTTCGAACTTCTGACCTCTAGCAATCTACCCACCTTGGCCTCCCAGAGTGCTAGGATTACAGGCGTGTGCCACCGCGTCTGGCCCAACCTCACCTATTCTTTAGGATTACTAATGCATGTAAAATAGCTAGCAGTCCTAGGTACCTCGTAAGGCTCAGTAAACATTAATTAGCTCTTATGCTATGTAATTCTACTATAGAAACTTCAGCATTTTGTTAAATGAGATAGTGTAGGTATAATGTGTAGACAATGGCTTCTATATTATTAACTCAACACTGATTCCTCCAAGAAGCCTTCTATGTAACCCTGATGTATTGGGGTTCTCTGCTGTGTGTCTCTATGTTATCACTTCCTATTTATTAAAAGCATCGTTTGCAATCACTTGATTATTGTTTTGTAATCATTTGCTTAATGCCTTTCCTTCCAGGCTGTAAACTGCACAAGAGGACACCCTTGGTCTCTTTTACTAACCTCTATCCATGTGGTTTAGCATCATGTCCATTGTTGAGTAGGTGCTCAGCAAATACTGCTGACTGAAGTATTAAACTGGAAGCTGCCTTAAAATTCCCTTTAATAATCTACTGTAGAACACATTTTTGTATTTCTTAGCAGGGAATTGGGGTGGGCTGCAGAAACAGCAGGGAAAGCCCCAACTTGAGGCTGATTGGGAGAAGGGATGTGAGCGAGGGTGGGTTTTCTTCCATATCCCATTTCATGGCTACTTTTCCCTCCAGAGAAGAATGAAGGCAAACAGTCACCTGTGAATACTCAGGTAAGTGGGGTGAAGCCTGAGTGTGGGAAGCAGCTGGTCCGTCTCACCACATCACCTCCTGCTGTGACACTAGCAGGTTCCCTGTGATTTTTAGGATGGAGCATTTCTCCTCCAGAGGTGATTTTGTCCTCTACTGCAAGAGTTATCTGTCCATGTCTGGGGATACTTTTGCTTGTCACAACTTTAGGGGTAGGGGGAAGGTGTGCTACTGGTATCTAGTGATTAGAGCTCAGAGACACAACTCAGCATCCTACCATGCCCAGGACAGCCTCCCACAACCAAGCATTGACTGGTCTCAGATGTCAGTAGAAAGTAAGAGGCTCTGGAAAGGGTGACAGTGCCTCAGCTGTCATGTAAAAACTTGTGTCAGTGTCTCGAACCTCATGCCCACCCCACGGTAGAATCTTAGTCAATATTGTCTCCAGGGCTCACCCCTACCACATTTATGCTTATTCCTGCTTTCTAATGTTTCAATGAGAGTCTACCTAATTAGCTTTATTTCTTTGAAAGGAAAATCTGATGGAGAATGAAAGCAGAAAGGACCCCCTAAGAAATGCTACTGAACTCCAGTCTATACTACTGACTTTCTGGAATGTGAGTTCTGATTCTCCAGGAAAGGTTGAAAGTTCTGCATTTTATGGAGGTAAGAGGTGCAGAGTAGACTCCTGTGACCTCCACAGGGGTGTGGGTCCTGGCATGGGCAGGGTCTATGAATGATAAAATCTATGGTCCCCCAGCATCACAGTCTTCCATGCTAATGATACAGGAGTAGGGATCTGCTTTCAAAAATATAAATTCAAGGGATGCGAAAATAAACCATCTCTCTTCTCTATTACAACCTCCCTTAATATGGTGAGAATCACTTGGGAACACACCCACCATCCTACCATGGCTGGTAGAAAGGAAATCACTTTGGGTTATGTTACTTCTCTACTCTCACATATGCAGGACAATACGGAATTCTTCATCTCTGGTCAACAAAATATGCGTGGATTGTTTCCTCCACACTTTAGTGTTTACAAGCAATTGTTTACAAGCAATTCTCCAGCAGATACCAGCTGGGTTTCTTGTCGTTCAATTGACCTTTCTTGACATTATCTATCCAGAGACAGCGACAGATCCCACAGTTTGTGCAATTAGTCCCACAAGAGCATTTTCAGTTCAGAGGCCCATTGCCAAGTCGCAGGTTGTAACCTGCACTTCTGACCATGTCTGGCTATGAATCAGGGTCCCGTGACCTCCCTCCTTGGGATTCATTAGTTTCCTCACTGAACTCAGGGAAGCACTTTACTTGCATTTGTCCATTTATTATAAAAGATACTACAAGCCGGGCGCAGTGGGTGACGCCTGTAATCCTAGCACCCTGGGAGGCCGAGGCAGGAGGATCGCTCAAGGTCAGGAGTTGGAAACCAGCCTGAGCAAGAGCGAGACCCCCATCTCTACTATAAATAGAAAGAAATGAATATGCCAACTAATATATATAGAAAAAATTAGCCGGGTATGGTGGCACATGCCTGTAGTCCCAGCTACTCGGGAGGCTGAGGCAGGAGGATTGCTTGAGCCCAGGAGTTTGAGGTTGCTGTGAGCTAGGCTGACGCCACAGCACTCACTCTAGCCTGGGCAACAAAGCAAGACTCTGTCTCAAGAATAAATAAATAAATAAATAAAATTAGAGCTACACATTTGCCTCTAAGTACTGGCTTGGCTGCATCCTGTAAACTTTTAGATGTTTGGCTTTAGCTATTATTCAGTTAAAAATATTTTAAAACTTTCTGTATGATGTATTACTTGACTTATGGGTTATGTAGAAATGTGTGTTTCATTCCCAAATATTTGGGGCTTTTCCAGATGTCTCTGTGTTTATGGTTTATTTAATTATATTGTTGGTTTTTATCAAGAAAGTACTGTGTTTTCCTGAACATAAGACAGGGTCTTATACTTATTTTTCCTCAAGAAGACACCCTAGGGCTTATTTTCAGGGGATGTGTTATTTTCCCCTCAAAGCCTCAGCTTGCAGCATGCACAGGATGGCCGGGACCTGACAGGGGGAGCCGACCTTGTTGGTCGGGGCTGCCTGCACCTTTCCGGTCACCTCTGGGATAGTAGCTGTCACCATGGGGCAGACGAGAAGGGCTGCTCCTCTTCTGTACCGCTCCGCGATGAAATGGATGGCTTGTGCAGATGCCCTGCGTAGCCACGCCCATCACTAGGTCTTATTTTCGGGGTAGGGCTTATATTGCACAAATGCTTAGAAATCCTGCTAGGGCTTATTTTATGGGTTGGTCTAATTTTCAGGAAAACACAGTATATTGAACTTTGTCAAGTGATTTTTCTGAATCAATTAACATGATCACATGATTTTTAGCTTTTGTTTTGTTGATGTGATGGATCCCAGGGATTGATTTGCATGTGTTAAACAAGCCTTGCATACCAGGGATAAATCCCAAGTAGTCATGGTGTAGAATCTGTTTTATGTGGTCTTGTTTGAAAGCATACTCTTTAAAATTCCAATCCTTTCGAATTTATTGAGTCTTGTCTTGTAGTCTATTTTGACAACTTAATATCTGCATGAGCATTCCAAATCAAGTGGCATCAGAAAGCACAATGTAACAGTGGCTTAAAAAGTGGCTTCACTATTATTTTTTAAGAGTTTGAGCATAAGGATCCAAGGGCTGATATGTCTGTTCCTTGGTAGCTCTGTGCTCTGCCATCTTCAACTTTCAACTTCCGTCTTGTGTTGTAAGATAGCTGCTCTACCTCCACATCCTCTTACCAGCCAAGGGGAGAGGGACAAGAGGAGAGTAGAAATGACGCTCATTTTCTGTGGGACACCTCATTCTCTTCTTCCATCCATTGGCCTGCAGATAGTTGCATGGCTCTGCCTAGCTGCAAGGGAAGCTGGGAAATGACTTGTGTTCAGCTTCAACTTGGTAACTCTTGTCCCAGAGAAGGAAGGTCAAACGGTGACTGTGGGCACTGAGCTGTCTCCATAGCTCCCAGGACAATTTTCTCACTTGTGCAGAGAAAAATTCTTCGTACCAAAAAATATCAGGAGGATAACCTTTCACCAGATCTTGTTTTTACAAACTTATGTGATTGGATAGAGTTTATTCAAGGGCTTCTTCTTCCATGCACAAGATCTGCACCTGGTCATTTTACTTAGAAAATTTTGAAATGCTTAGCTACTTTTGCTTTAAAAGATCGTGTTCCTCCGTACAGGGACTCTTGCAACATTATTTAACTTTTCAAAAAATGTTTTAATGCTCCCTAAGACGCCTATGGTAAATGCTGAGTTTTCCGACCCTAGTCCCAGCTCAGGAAAGCATAGCCATCTCCTTCCTTCTCTTCAGGTGTGTTCCTTAGGACATGTGGGAACATTTATGAACAACATTGGGCATTCAGTTTCCATAGGCAAGGGAACTGGTATAGTTCAATGAAAATGAAAAACAATAATATTTTGTCTTTATAGTATCTATTGATGATTGTGAGACTGGGCTGGCAACGTGCAAGTATACAGAGTATTGTGGCAAAATCATAACTGAGGTCTGCAGTTGTGTGGTCAAACATTCTTTCTTCAGCTGGGTGGCTCTTTTGGAGGATATTGATCGTCCAGATTGTTATGGTAAGAACCTCCCAATATTCTTTTTCTTCATGCAAAAGGATGGAGAAGTAGTTGGGAAATCTTCTCTGACAGCTACCAACGTCAGGCCAGGCTGGGATAGGAGAGCTCTGTCCTAACCAACATGTGCATTTCCTTTGTCCTTGTTGCCCAAGGGGGCGTTGTCTAAGCCCCTGACATAAATAACCATCTCTGTATAGATGCCTTACAGTTTATGTCTCCTACACAGGTCTCTTTCCTGATCTTCCAAAAAGATATATCTAATTTTTTTTTCTGAACTTGTCTACTTATTTACCTCTCACTCTCCTTAAATTCAATTTCTATTTCTGTCTATCTGTGTATCTATGTCCCAAAGCCCGTGAGTTCATGCCGTTAGCTCTCATGCCAGCATAATGGGAAGGCTTGTCTCATCCTTTCCTTATCTGTAATTTCTTTCTCCAACAATAAGAAGCCTGGACCTTACTACTGGCAATAATATATTTATTTATTTGTTCATCCTCGTAAAATTCCATGTTTTGAGTTAAATGAATTGAATTTAGGGCTGCTTCATGCCCTCCCTAGCTGGCTTTCAGTAAATGACTTAACTTCTATATTCTTCTCTGTAAGTGGGAGTGACTCCAAGATGTAGGATCTTGGTTTATGTTGCTGCATAACAAGTTGCCCCCAAAATTTAGTGACTTACCCATCACATATTTCTTGTCTCCATATTTGTGTGAATCCAGCAATGACTTAGCTGGGTCCTTTGCTTCAGGGTCTATCATAGCTGCCATCAAGCTGTTTTCCAGACTGTAGTTTCATCCAGAGGCTTGACTGGGACAGAATCTGATTCCAAGCTCACTCACAGGGTTGCTGGAAAGATTCAGTTCCCTAAGAGCCCTTGGGCTGAGCCCTTAAGAGCTCTTCATATTTAGTGGTCGGTGGGAGGCAGTCTTCATTTCCTAGATACGTGGGTGTTCTATCGCTTGCTTTATTATAGCAAGGACTGGTAACAGCCAGGGAGTGTTCATAAGACAAACGTCATAGTCATTTATAACAATATCACACAAGTGACATTCTATCATTTTTGCTGTATAATGTTCATTAGTAATGAGTCACTGGGTCCCGTTAACAGTCAGTGAGAGAAGAGTTTGCAAAAATATGAATCCCGAGAAGCAGGAACAACTGGAAGCTTACTGGGTTGGATAGTGTGCTCCCCAAATTCATGACACCTGCAACCTGTCAATGTGATATTATGTGGAAATAGGGGCTTGGCAGATGTAATCAAGTCAAGACGAGGACACACTAGTTTAGGGTTGACCCTGCATCCCATAAAACAGGTGTTCTTATAAGAAGAGGGAACTTAGGAAACAGAGACACACACACACACAGAGGGACGATGGCCACGTGTAGACAGAGACTTAGGCTGCCACAAGCCCAGGAAGGACAGAGATTGCTGGCAGCCACCAGAAGGTAGAAGAAGCAAGGCAAGATTCCTCCTTAGGACGTTCCTTAGAGGGAACATGGCCCTGCTGACACCTTGATTATGGACTTTTAGCCTGCAGAGATGTGAGACAGTGGATTTATGTTTAAGCCACCAGTTTGTTTCACTATGTTATGGCAGCCCCAGCAAACTAGCACACATCACCTATTCTTTATGATTTTTAATGCATCTTAAATATTTATCCATCTTGGTACCTAGAAAGGCTCTATAAAAATTAGCTCTTATGCTACATAAACCTGTCTTAGAACCTTCTGCATTCTGTTAGAGGAGATAGTGCAGATGTAATGTGTCAACAACTCCTTCTATATTATTAACCCAATTAACACTGATTCCTCCAGGAAGCCTTCCATGCAACCCTGATGTGCTGGGGTTCTCTGCTGTGTGTTCCCATGTCATCACCTCCTATTTATTAATGTCATCACTTGCAATCTCTTAATTATTGATTTGTAATTATTTGCTTAATGTCTTTCCTTTCAGACTGCAAACTGCACAAGAGGATGCCCTTGGTCTCTTTTACTAACCTCTATCCATGTGGTTTAGCATCATGTCTGAGTAGGTGCTCAGCAGATACTGTTGCCTGAAGTATTAAACCAGAAGCCACGTTCCAATTCCCTTTCATAATTCTACTGTAGAACACATTTTGGGTTTCTTAGAGAGAAATTGGGGTAGGCTACGGAAGCACCAGGGAAGGACCTAACTTGAGGCTGATTGGAAGAAGGGATGTGAGCCAGGGTGGGGTTTCTCCCATATCCCATTACATGGCTGCTTTTCCCCCCAGAGAACAGCAGCAAGAAGACGCCATCAGAAGTGAATACTCAGGTAAGTGGGGTGAAGCCTGGGTGTGGGAAGCAGCTGGTCCGTCTCACCACATCATCTCCTGCTGCGACACTAGCAGGTTCCCTGTGATTTTTAGGATGGAGTAGTGCTCATCCCCGGGTGAAATTCAGAAACTCTGGAAAGAGTGACAGTGTCTCAGCTGTCATGTAAAGACCCCTGTCAGTGTCTGGAACCTCATGCCCACCCCCACCTACTAGCACCTTAATCAATATTGTCTTCTGGGCTCACCCCTACCACACTCATGCATATTCCTGCTTTCTGAAGTTTTAGTGAGGGTCTAACTAATTAGCTTTATTTCTTTGAAAGAAAAATGTGACAAAGACTAAAAACAGAAAGGACTTTGCAACAAAGCCTACGCAAGTACTCCGGACGGTGGAATTGAGTGCCTGGAAAGGGAGTTCTGATTTTCAAGGAAAGGGTGGAGATTCTGTGTCTGATACAGGTAAGAGGTGCTGAGTAGACTCCTGCGATGTCCATAAAGAGAACTGGGTCCTGGCATGGGCAGGGCCTATGCATGATAAAATCAATGGGCTCCCAGAATCACAGTCTTCCATGCTGACCTTACATGAGTAGGGCTCTGCTTTCAAAGATATAAATTCAAAGGACAGGAGAATGAATACACCTGCTCTCTCCCCATTGCAACCTCCCTTAATGCGGTGAAAAGTACGTAGGAAAACATCCACCATCCTACCATGGCTGGTAGAAAGGAAATCACTTTGGGTTATGTTCCTACTCTACTCTCACATCCTCAGGACAACATGGAATACTTCATCTTTGGTCAGGAATATGTGTGTGGATTTTTCCCTCCACACTACACAAGCAATGCTCCAGCAGATAGCAGCTGGGTGTCCTGTCATTCAACTCTGACATTGTCTACCTGGAGACAGCGTCAGATCCAGACCCCACAGTTTGTGGGCTTAATCCCAGAGCGTTTTCAGTTCCGACGCCAGCTGCAAGTCCCAGGTTGTAACCTGTACTTCTGACCATATCCGGTTATAAATCAGAGTCCCGTGACCTCCCTCCCTGGGTTTGACTAATTTGCTCACTGAACTCGGGGAGGCACTTTACTTGCATTTATCCATTTATTATAAAAGATATTATAAAAGACACAGATGGGCAGCCAGCTGGAAGAGATGCAAAGAGCAAGGGACGGGAAAGGGGGGAGAAGGAGATGTGGCACTTCCAAGCCCTCTATGAGCGTGTCACACCCCGGGAACCTCCAACTTTTCAGCTACCTGGAAGCTCCTGGAACCATCTTCATCTGGACTTTGATGGGCGCTTCATTACTTAGGAACAACTAATGCAAGAGGCAGGGATAGCTGGAAGCTATTTCAGAATCTGACTTACAGGGTTGAATACTGTGCTCCCTAAATCCACGTCTACCTGCATCCTGAGACTGTGATCTTATTTGGAAATAGGGTCTTCGTGGATGTAGTCAAGTCAAGATGAGGTCAAACAATGTTAGGATGAACCCTAAATCCTATACAAGTGGTGTTCTTATAAAAAAGAGCGAACTCAGGGAACAGAGACACAGGCACAGAGGGACGATGGCCACGTGTAGACAGAGACTGGGGTTGCGCTGCCACAACCCCAGGGAGGACAGAGATTGCTGGCAGCCACCAGAAGGTAGAAGAAGCAAGGCAAGATTCCTCCTTAGCACCTTCCTTAGAGGAAACATGGTCCTGCTGACACCTCAACTACACACTTTTACCTTGCAGAGCTGTGAGACAGTAAATTTATGTTGCTTTAAGCCACCAGTTTGTGGCACCGTGTTATGGCAGCCCCAGCAAACCAGTACCCCTCACCTATGCTTTATGATTATTGATGCCTGTCAAATACTTGGCAGGCCTAGGCACCTAGAAAGGCTCTATAAAAATTAGCTCTCATGCTGCATAAGTCTGTGATAGAGCCTTCTGCATTCTCTTAGAGGAGACAGTGCAGATGTAACGCATAGACAACGGCTTCTATAGTATTAAATCAATCAACGCTGATTCCTTCAGGAAACCTCTTCCATGCAAGGCTAATGTGCTGGGGATCTCTGGTGTGAGTCCCCATGTGATCACCTCCTATTTATTAATGGCATCACTTGCAATCTCTTAATTATTGATTTATAATTATTTGCTCAATGCCTTTCCTTCCAGACTGCAAACTGCACAAGAGGACGCCCTTGGTCTCTTTTACCAACCTCTACCCATGTGGTTTAGCATCATGTCTGGTGTTGAGTAGCTGCTCAGTAAATATGGTTGCCTGAAGTATTAAACTGGAAGCCACATTTTAATTCCCTTTTACAATCTACTGTAGAACACATTTTGGATGTCATAGAGGGGAATTGGGGTAGGTTTCAGGGGCATCAGAGAAGGGTCCAACAGGAAGGCATTGGAAGAAGTGAGGTGAGCCAGGGTGAGTTTTCTGCCATGTCTTGTTCAGTGGCTACCTTTTCCCCACAGAGAACCGTGGTGAGAAGACTCAGTCGCAAGGGAATATTTGGGTAAGTGGGGTGAGGCCTGGGTGTGGGAAGCAGCTGGTCCATCTCACCGCATCCTCTCCTGCTGTAGCATTAGCAGGTTCCCTGTGATTTCTAGAAGAGAGTAGTTCTCATGCAGGGATGACTGTGTCCTCTACCCCAAGGGTCATGTGTCCATGTCTGGGGCACTTCTGCTTGTCATAACGTTAGGGGGAGGGGGAGGGTGTGCTCCTGGTATGGAGTGAATAGAGACTGGGGACACAGCTCAGCATCCTACCATGCCCAGGACACCCTCCCACAACCAAGCATTGACAGGTCTCAGATGTCAGTAGAAATCCAGAAACTCTGGAAAGGGTGACAATGTCTCAGCTGTCATGTAAAGACTCGTTTCAGTGTCTGGAACCTCATGTTCACCCCCACCTACCAGCACCTTAATCACTCTTGTCTTCTGGGCTCACCCGTACCACATTTGTGTGTATTCCTGCTTCCTGAAGTTTCAGGGAGAGTCCACCTAATTACCTTTGTTTTCTTGACAGGGCAATGTGAGGAAGACTACAAGCAGAACAGGCTTTGCGAGAAAGGCTACTCAAGCATTCCAGAGTGTGGAATTGAGTATTTGGGATTCGAGTTCTTCTTCTCCAGGAAAAGGTCAAAATTCTGAGCTTGGCGTAGGTAAGAGGTGCTGAGTAGACTCCTGTGATGTCCATAAAGAGACCTGGGTTCTGGCCTGGGCAGGGCCAAGAATGATAAACCTCAAGGCTCCCAGAATTAGCTTCCATGCTGACATTACCAAGTAGGGCTCTGCTTTCAAAAAGATAAATTCAGGGACAAGAGAATAAACCAGCTCTCTTCCCCATTCCAACTTCCTTTCCTATGGTGAAAATTACTGAAGAACATATCCACCATCTTACCATGGCTGGTGGAAAGCAAAAAGCTTTGGGTTATGTTCCTACTCTATTCTCATAGAGTCACGACAACACACAATACCTCGTCTTTGGTCAACAAATATGTGTAGGTGTTTTCCTCCACATTAAACACGCAATTCTCCAGGAAATGCCAGCTGGGTGTCCTGTGATTCATTTCTGACATTTTCTACCTGGCAATGGCATCAGATCCCACAGTTTGAGGGCTTAGGCCCAGAAGAGACCCTTCACTGCAAATGCCAATTGCAGGTCTCAGGTTGGATGACCTGTACTTCTGACCGCATCTGGCTGTAAATCAGAGTCAGTGACCTCCCTCCTGGGGTTTGATTAATGTTCTCAGGGAAGAACAATACTTGCATTTATATATTTATTATGAAAGATATTATAAATAGACAGATGACAGCCAGATGGAAGAGAGGCCCTGTTTGAGCTTCTCATATCCCAGGAGTCTCAAACTTTTCAGCTACCTAGAAGGCCCTGGAAGCATGTTTTCTGAGTTGGGACGGATGGCTCATTAGTTAGGCATGATTGGTTACAGCATTGCCTACTGGCTATGCGTTCAGTCTCTTCTCCCTCCCTGTAGGTGGGAAGGGGTGGAAAGGAAATTTTCAAATCCTTAATCTCATGTTTGGTTTCCCTGGCAACGAGCCCTCATCGCCAGTCCATCCTGTACCTGGATGAGTGTCACCTTGTTACAAAAGACGATGCTTCTATAACCTGGGAAATTCGATGGAACTTAGGAGTTGAGTCACTTGTTTCTGATACTCAAGAAATTCCAAAGGTCTCAGGAGCTGTGTGTCAGGAAGTTGAGTCTAAGGCCAAATATTAGGACAAAAGATTTTCTCTTGTGCCCATTGCTCAGGAAATCACAAGGGTTTTAACAGCTCTGTGTCAGGGACTGTGGTTTCTCCTTAACCTCTGTATCCATTAATCATTTCCAAGAACCAAATTTTGGCTTTGTTGATTATTTTTCTCATTGTTCTGCTTTCTTCTAACTTGATTTCTTGCCTTTATTATTTCATTCTACTTTCTTTGTATTTTTAATTTTCTACCTTTTTGCCTTACTAGCTTGGATCATTCATTTTTAAGCCATCCTCTTTTGCTAATGAAATTGCATTTAAAGCTTCAAATTTAGCTATAAATTAGAGCTATGCTTTGTCCTGTAAGTACTGCCTTGGCTGCATCCCACAAATTTTGAGATGTTGGGCTTTCATCATCTTTCAGTGAAAAATATTTTAAAAATTTCCATGTGATTAACCACTTGATCTATCATCAGTTCTTTAGAAATGTGTGTTTCATTCCCAAATATTTGGGGATTTTCCTGGTGTCTTTTTGTTAATGGTTTCTTGCTTAATTTTATTGTGGGTTTTAATCAAGAAAGGATGTTGAGCTTTGTCAAATGCTTTTTCTGCATAAATTAAGATGATCACATGATTTTTATCATGTGCTGTGTTAATGTGATGGATCCCAGTGATTGCTTTGCATATGTTAAACCAACCTTGCATAGCACGGATAAATTTCACTTGGTCGTGATATATAGTCTGTTTGAAGTGTTCCTGTGTGAGACCATGCTGTTTAAAATTGCAATCCTTTGAATTCATTGAGACTTATCTTGTCATCTATTTTGACAAGTGTTCCAGGTTAAGTTAATATCTGTATTAGGCTATCAAATCTGGTGGTATAAGAAAGACTAAAGTTACAGTGGCTTGACCAATGGCTTAACTATTACTTCTTTAACCCTTTGCACTTGCTTGCTTTTTTCTCGATTCCTTTATTCTACTCAAGATTTACTTTTTTAAATATCCGTGATTTTACAAAGCGCGGCAGTAGAATAAAAAATTGGAGTTTCTTTTCATACAAACTTATTTATTTGGATTTTTAATTTCAAATTATTGATACATTCAAAGAGTAATTTTAATCTCTATAATTTTGCTAACCGTGTCGAGTCACACTCGATATCCAAGTGCAAAGGGTTAATAGTTTGAGCGTAAGAAAACCAGGGCTGATGTGGTTCTTTCATGGCAGTGCTCTGCCATCTTCAAAACTCTTCTGGTGCTCTTCTGGGACTAAGTCCTCAAACTGTGGGATCTGATGTTATTGCCAGGTAGATAAGGTCAGAATTGAATGACAGGACACCCAGCTGGTAGTTCCTGGAGAATTGCTTGTTTAGTGTGGAGGAAAAAAATCTATACATATTTTTTTGACTCAAAACCAAAACCAAAGTCGAGTCAAAACCAAAGTTGAGTTTTGTCATGTTACAAGATGGCTGCTGTACTTCCACATCCTCTTACCAGCTAATGGGAGAGGGAAAAGAGAAGTAGAAGGCATGCTCATTTTCTGTAGAACCCATCAATCTGACCTTTCATCCATTCACCTGCAAATAGTTTCATGCCTCCACCTACCTATAAAGGAAGCTGGAAAATGACTTGTGTTCAATTTGGTAATCCTAGTCCCAGAAAAAGATGGAGTGAATAGTGACTGGGGGCACTGAGTTGTCTGCCATAGTTCCTAAGACAATTTTCTTACTTATACAGAGATGAACTTCCTGTAACAAAAAATATTTATGAGGATAATCTTTCATCAGATCTTGTGTTTACAGGCTTATGTGATAGGGGTAGAGTTTACTCATGGGATTCTTCTCCAAGGCAGAAAATCTGACCCTAGTTATCTTACTTGGAAAGCTTGTCTTACTTTTAAATGCTTAGATACTCTTCCTTAGAAAGTTTGTGTTCCACCCTCACTGGGACTCCGGTATCACCAATGTTATTAGTTTAATTTTTTTATTATTATTCCTTAAGTAGCCTGTGTTAAATGCTGAATTTTCACACCCCTTAGTTCTAGCTCAGGGAGGCACAGCCATCCCCTGTCATCTCCTGGGTTGTGTGGCCAGCGTGTGTCTTGCTCAGGACATTGTCACCCCTTCACTCCCACCAGCCAGACGGGTGGAGGGACAATGTGGTCTGGTCTACCCTACACGGGGGAGATGGAATCACCCGTAGGGGGTCTTCCAAAGAAGGGAGGTGTTCAACAAGAGTTTTTAGTCATGGGAAGTAAGTACAGAAGGACTCACTTTCTTCCTGTTTTCAGTCTATGAAAACAAGAGGTGCAGTGAGACAGGTGAGAAGATGTTTCTGGAAGCTGGAAACAACACGATGGATATCGACTGTGCTCAAGCTTTCAAAGGAGCCGCAGCAGGTACTGTGCCTACGATGGATTCTCCTGACTCCGCATTCTAGGCACCATTGTCTCATTTCTAGGTTACTAGACCTAGGGATGGGAACTTACAACATTTTCAAAGTAGGAAGATTCTAGAATGAAAAGATCTTCCTTGATCATGATCAGGAAATTGGGAAGATAAACTTGAAATCATAAAAGAACTGTGCACTTTGTGATACACACTTAGGTTCCAATAGGATTCCCTGACATTCTTCCTTAAAATGGACAGTTGACACATGCCTGATTTCCATGCGATGTCTGAAAAGGTACCAGGGTGGCAGATTGCCACTTCGAACATCCTTTCCTTTGAGAAGAATTTTATGGACCCTCCATTTGAAGGAGTCACTGGGTCTTTTTCTATACTATAGCTGTGCAAACTTGTTCTGTAAAAGGATCAGAGAGTAAATATTTTAGGCTGTTTGCACCAGATGGTCTTTGTCGTAGCTACTCAAGTCTGCCACTGTAGCATGACAGCAGCCATGGGTGATATGTCAACAAAGGAGCCTGACTGTGTGCCAATAAAACTTTATTGACAAAAGCAGGTGGCAGGCCAGATTTGACCCTAATGCCATAGTTTTCCACCCCTGCTTTATCCCTTCAATTTTAGTCTCTGCAAAGCACCTGCACTGTGTCCTTTTTTTCTATTTTATTGATTGATTTAATATCCACCTCTCCCCCTCCAATGTTAGCTCTCTGACCGCAGAGCTTTTGTCTGCTGTTTTTCACCGCTGTGTTATAATACCTAGAATGTCTTGGCTCACAGTAGGGGTTCAATAAATGTGGGAGGAAAGAATAAGTAAATTATGGCATATAAACTATTTCCAAGAGTAAGGCCTGGCTATGCAGAGAGTGACATGCCTGCTGCATTTACTCCAAAAATATTCTTTTCTACTAGTTTATCTTTTCTCGTTACTATAAGCTGTAGAGCAGGGGAAGAGAGGGAAGGGATCTAAAAGTGAGTGGATTTTTAAAATGGAGTGAATAATAATAGAGTTGGCAAGTAGCTTTGGCCAATATCAGGTGGTGGCACATGAATAATTGCAATCTGGGAAACACCCCGTCAGGTCACAGAGCACCCTATGTGTGTTGAACATCTGAGAATTAAATCACACTTTCATGAAAAGGGGAGGGGAGGAGGAAGATAAGGCGGTGGGGGGAGGGGAACAGGGGGAAGGAAGGAAAATGGGTGGATTAAATAGAATGGGTCACCCTGCACACCTTTCCACTGAATCAGACACCCAGAGTGAGTGTGAGACGGAGGGTGGGAGCGTGAGCCTTCCTCAGCCTTCCTGAGTTCCACCCGCCCTTCTGAGCACAAGCGTTTTGCAGCCCAACTCTGATTGTGACGTGTAAGGGCGTGTATGTATTTTTACTACCCATGGATGAGTGTATTTTGCACATATACTGCTTCAATGTGTGGGGCCTTATGCTATGTATTATGTAAGGAAAGGTGCTGCGCCCCAAACTTCACGTGGTGCATTGAACGGGAAATGTAAGGGGTTTCCGAGGGCAGGTGTAACTGTCCGTAGCTTGCCCTGTGACCCTCACCTAAGACACTATGGACCAACTTCCCAGCCTATGCACACTCCCTAACGTTGTTTCTCTTCTTTTCTTCTCAGATATAAGCGCAGTTACCCTCATCACTTATCAATCTGTCGGAGATATGCCGAATGGATCGTTTTTTAATGACAGAAGAGGGATGCGGGAAGTAAAACTAAACTCTCACGTTGTGAGTGTCGCCACTGGCTTGAAGGAAAAAGTGTACCTGTCTGAACCCGTGGTCCTGACTTTTCAGCATGCTCAGGTGAGCAGACAGCAGGGCCGGTCCTCTGTGAGGTGTTGTAAAGGGAAGGGTGTGTTATCAGCTTCCGGGGAGGGAAATGAATCCAAGTCTAATCACTCAGAGATAGGAGAACTCACAAGAAATGTTAAGACTCCTTCAATCAAACATCACCTCACACCTGTCGGGATGGCTATTACCAAAAAGTCAACATGTAGGTATGGTGAGGACGTGGAGAAAAGGGAATTCTTACAGATCTGTTGGTAGGAATGTACGTGGGTGTAGACACTAGGGAAAAGAGTATGAAGGCTCCTCAGAATAATTACAACTAGAATATCATAGGATCCTGCAATCCCACTTCCGGGTACATATCCAAAGGAATTGAAGAGACAACAGCATCCCCTGTTCATTGCAGCATTGTACATAAATAGCGAAGATATGGAAAGAATGTAAGTTGTTTTTGCCAACAGATGAATGGATAAAGAAAAATATTTCATGCATTTATATATAAGAAATGGGGTTTTACTCAGCCTTTATTAAAAGAAGGAACTCTTGCCACGCGAGGCAACATGCATCAACGTGGAGGACTATTTTCTAAGTGAAATGAGCCAGACACACACACACAAATGAATTCTGCATGATCTCATTTATACCTGGAATCTAAAAAAAAGATATCAAATTCCTAATAATAAGGCGTAGAAGGGTCGTTACCAGGGATGGGGCATGGGAAAATGAAGAGATGTTGGTCTAAGGCAGGGGTCCTCAAACTACGGCCCGAGGGCCACATGCGACCCATTGAGGACATTTATCCGGCCCGCAGGGTGCTTTTGCCGCCACTGCCTGTCCTGCTTAGCAGCCGACTAGTCCCAGGCCCACAGTGCGCATGTGTGGAATGTGCCCCGCACTCTCCAACGCCCTCCAACTGTGTGAGGGACAGTGAACTGGCCCCTGTTTAAATAGTTTGAGGACCCCTGGAAGGGGATGCACTTTAAGTTATAACATGAATAAGTTCTGGAGACATAATATACCCCATGGTGACTATTGTTAATGACAATGGGCCGGGCCCGGTGGCTCACGCCTGTAACCCTAGCACTCTGGGAGGCTGAGGCGGGAGGATTGCTTGAGCTCAGGAGTTCGAAACCAGCCTGAGCAAGACTGAGACCCTGTCTCTACTAAAAATAGAAAGAAATTAGCTCGACAACTAATATATATAGAAAAAATTAGCCGGGCATGGTCATGCCTGTAGTCCCAGCTACTCGGGAGACTGAGGCAGGAGGATCGCTTGAGCCCAGGAGTTTGAGGTTGCTGTGAGCTAGGCTGATGCCACGCACCTAAGCCCAGTACAAGCAGAGTGAGGACTCTGTCTAAAAAAATATAACAATCGGGTATCATAAAGGTGAAGATTGCAAGAGACTGCCCTCCCCTCCCCCCCACACAAAGTTAATGTGTCAGCTGTTCATGTGTTAGGTTACCTTCATTGTATGTAAATGATTCGGTACAACCTTAAATCCCCACTTAAATATTATACACAAGTTGTTTGTCATCATCCCTCAATAAATTGGGGAAGAAGAAAGCCCAGGTGCCAGAGACTGCCTCAGTGGACAGCTATTCTCACACCGGAGTCGACAAGGCAGTGCCGTGGAGGAGCTTACGGAGCTCAGATGAATGCGAGAGCAGGAAGGAGGGATCGCCTGCCTGAGACGGGCACAGCCGGGGCAGAGAGAGTGAGGAAGAACACATGACTATTCTCCCTTCTCCCTGCAGGACTCTCCCAGCGCCTCCTTGGTTCTGTCCTGCCCAGAACCTGGGGAAGCCGTCTATAGAGCCAATCCTGGGCTGAGATGCAGCGGAAGGGACGATGAGTGAAGAGTAAAGCCCCCTGCAGTGTGTGTGATGAGAGATCTTACCGAGAACGTTCTCCAATCCGTTCCCTTGCACAGCACCACGCACGAGTGACCATAAAATGGAAACCACCAAGCCAGGAAGGACCCACTTTTCACGCTGTTTCTTTTCCAGCCTGCGAGGTCTGAGAACAAACACTGTGTGTCTACTGGGAAACTCGCAGGAAAGGGGGGCTGGTCACGGAGGGCTGCTATCGCGTGCACAGCCAATGCTTCCACCCAGTGCAAGTGCCGCACCTGTCCAGCTTCTGGCGTCCTCATGGCTCTTAAGCCCAAGGTACCACACGTTCCTGGTCCCCTCCTGGGAACCTGATTGACGTCGGAAGCTGTGAGGTCATCCTGTCATTTCTTAGAAAAGACTCTAAGATAAGAGTCATGGGTGATCGCTTACTTGAGAGGGGATCCAGACACCCATGGGGACTGGTAAATTCAAGAGGCAATAAGATCAGGAGCGAATGCCAGAGGGCATTTTCATGCCTGTCACCACTGTGCGGGCACTGGACCTTTGCGAATTCGGGGGATCCCTGGGCATCCTAGTAGGAACTCACTCTGAGAAGTCTTTGAACTGGGTGGAAAGAGACTGGTATATCACAGCCGCTCCAGCTCCCTTTTAGTCCTTTATTGGGGGCTGCACCCAGGATGTCGATTCCTCTGACACCTTCCAGGGACATGGGCAGACTCGAGCTCAGAGAACAAGATAGCCCTCAAGATCACTGGGAGTTTCTTGGCACCGCTACCAGGGATAAGGTCCAGGCTCTGGCCATGGAAACCATCTGCACTCTCGCAAAGAGAAACTACAACTAACCCCTTCAGACGGAGGAAGCAACTGCTGTCACCAAGGACACGACCTTAGCCCCTCTGCACTTCCCAGGTCCCAACCGAGTCTAAGATGGTTAAATTATTTAAACTCATGTTTAAGGGAATTTACTGACCTTCTCCCACTATTTCTTTTTAGCCCCCATGTATTGAACATTTGCTATATGACAACCACTGTGTTGCATGTTTCATATGCACGGTCTAGTTTTCACACTTATCAAGTGGCTACTACACACCACACGTTGCTCCAGGCCTTGGAAAATAACAGGGAATAAGACAGATTTTTAAAAAATCCCAGCCTTTACGGATATTCCTTTTGAGTGTTGTGCTGGCCAATAGGATAACCGGGCACATGTGGCTATAGAGCACCAGGGATGTAGCTAGGGCAACCGATGAGCCACATGCTTAATTTTATTTTGTTTTAATGATTTGAATATAAAAACTGGAGAAGCGTAGAATGTTCTTCAGCTAAACACAAGTTTTTGGTTTGGTAAGACGACATTTCACCTTCACCACTGAAAATGCAGTGTCTGAGTTGAGATGTGCCGTCAGTGATAAATATCCACTGCATTTCAAAGGCTAAATACGAACAGAAAAAGAGGATGTGGTATATCTTACTAAGAACTGTTTACATTTACACTGATTCTATATTTAACTGATAATATTTTCAAACTATTCAGTTAAATAAAATACACTGTTCATTTCATGTTTCTTTTTACTTTTGTTATTATGGCTACTAGAAAATTTTCAACTTACACCCAAGGCTCCCAGCTCAAATGTCCCATTTCTTTACTTTTCTTTTTAGACAGAAAGAGTCTCGCTCTGTCACCTGGGCAAGAGTGTGGTGGCCTCATTACAGCTCATTGCAACCTCAAACTACTGGGCCCAATCCTCCTGCCTAAGCCTCCCGAGTAGCTGGGACTACAGGCTTGGGCTACCATGCCTGGATAATTTTTTTTACTATTTACTAGAGACTGGGTTTCACTTTTGCCCAGGCTGGTCTTGAACCCTTGAGCTCAAGTGATCCACCTGCCTCAGCCACCCAGACATGTCTAATTTCCACTGGACAGCACTGGTCTAGTTGTCTGGGTTTTTCAACACTCCTGTGTGGAGAACGCTATTACTGCCCCTATGTTGAAGATGGGGACACTCAGTTTCAGAGAGGTCGAGTCATTTCTTCCAGGGACTGAACTCATGACACCACCTGTCTTTGCATGAGGAAGACAGCAGCACAGCTAGAAACTATAACAGATTCCTCCTTTGGTGGCTTGCAGGAGGATGCTGTGCTGACTGTGATCACCCACGTGGGGCTCATCGTATCCCTGCTGTGCCTCTTCCTGGCCGTGCTCAGCTTCCTCCTGTGCCGGCCCATCCAGAACACCAGCACCACCCTCCACCTGCAGCTCTCCCTCTGCCTCCTCCTGGCCCACCTCCTCTTCCTCACTGGCATCAAGAAAACTGAGCCTGAGGTAGGCAATCAACCAAATTACCGTGTTGTCATAATCTAATCTAGCTATCTTCTCCTGAGATAAGGTGGGGAAGGAGGCATTAGTCAGGTGGGATGGTGCAGGGGGAAATAGCATGAGTTGCCATGTCAGCTCTCCTCCCGTATAACTGTGAACAAGACCCATGCTGAGGGACCATTTAGCAAAGTGATTGAGAGTCAGTCTGATGGCATTAGGGCAACACTAGCTGCCGTAACAGTCAACTCCAAAATGTCAGAGGCTCAGCACAATAGCAGTGACCGTTTCCCTTATGCATCAATAGAGGATGAGCAAATAGGCTTTAAGAGTGTTTGTCTGCTATTCTTGGGCTGATTGATGCTCTTCATTGTCCATACACAGCCTCCAAGTTCTCCCTGGCGTCCTTTCCATTTTATCCAACTGGGAGAGGGGAAAGAGCATGGTAGAGTCCCATGGGGGAGGCTTCTATGGGCCACACCAGGAAGTGGTGGAGATCCTTTCCCATGCCACATTCTATTGGCTAGAACTCAGTCACATGGTCACCCTTACCTGCAAGGGCTGCTGGGAAATGTAGTCCCTAGCTTGGAAGCCACTTCCCAGTGAGGAATACATGTTCTGTATCTGCAAGTCCAGGGAGAGACTTGAATTTTTGGTGGCCAGTGGATTTTCCACAGTGATCTGCACTTGAATTCAACTCTTCATCCTACTTGCATGTGACCTTGTTGAAGTGACTTCCCCTTTTTATTTATTTAGTTATAGATTTTTTAAATTAACCAATAACGATTACATATATTTTTGTGCACAATCTGTTGATTCGAAATATATGTATATTATGGAATGGCTAAGTCTCGCTAACTAACATATGGTTTATATTACATCCTCATTTTTTGTGGTGAGAACACTTAAAATCTGCTCTCTTAGCAATATTTAAGTATAAAATAGCTTGTTATTAAATATAGTCACTGTGTTTTATGACAGATCTCTCATGACTTCCTCTTTTTAAACTTCCTCTCTAAAACAGTGTCCCTGTCATACTGCTCTAGTAAGGACTTAGGAAAATAAGAGATATTTACATCGAAGTGTTTGGATTCATTGCTAGGCGGCCACACTACTTTTTACCTTCATTGAGAACATGGCCATCATAATATTAAGGAAGAACTGGAACTAGATGTTCTCCAAGGCTGCTTTTAACTCTAAAGCAGTATAGTCCCACATCTAGAAATCTATGAGAGCACTCGTTTGTCTTTTTTTTTTTTTTTTCTGAGAGGAAGGCACTGCTCTCTGGGTGGCTGTCCCTAGTCTGGTTGGTTTCCTTACAAGCAGACACTGCTAAGGATTCAGTCAAAGATTCCAGGGAAATCCTCTGCCAATCTCCTCCTTCCCTTCTCCCCCACACCCTCTGTGGCTCCCTGCTCTGTGGTGTTTGGCCTCATCAATTCTAGCTAACTTGGGCTCTGTATTAGCTGTCTAGAGTTGTCACGACAA